CTGGCCCTAACACTTAAAGTTTTAAATAAAAAAAGGATGCTGAACAAAATAATTAAGCAAAAGGAGATAGGAGAGGTTTGAATTTTGAAAGCAAAACAGTGCATTATTGTTAGTTGAAGCTAGTAATATCTACATAGAAAACCCAAAACAATCAATCTAGAACCTGTTATCTGTAAATGCAGGTCTGTCTCCATAAATGGCCTGTTGTTAAATGAAACTTATTGGAATGTTCATAAATTGAATCTAGAAGGGAGAAATACCCATGAAACTGAGAACATTGCCTCCCAAGACAAGAGCTGTTATTCTCGATGTCAGAGCCCCCACCCCAGTCCTCCTAGTTGTGCGACTCGGGCTGGGCCATGGCACAGGGGTGGCCGGCTGACCCGAGTCCGAGGCCCTCCAGCATGCTGGACTGCGTGCACACCTGGGACCTAGCCTCACTGAGATGGAGTGGGTCACCTTGTGGGGACCTGTCAGGACCTTTCTCTCTGATTGTCTCTCTCTCATGAAAAAACACATTTTTAAAAAATAGCCAATGTGATGTGGCCGGCCAGCCAGCAGAAGGCCAGAGAGTCTGGAAGCGAGGTCAGAGTGAGCGGAGGTGGCAGCCCAGGACCACCTTCCGTGGAGGCCACGTTTTAGCAGAAACTTGACGCTGGAGAATCAGCAGAGACCTGAGGAAAGGCAGCTTTTGGGCAGCTGCACAACGAGGAACCCGCCTGCTGTGTTGTAGGGAGAGCAGGAGAGCCCCTCTTTGGGGGAAGTGCAGGCGGGATGGACACGCGCCAGAGGTTGGCGGTTGAGCATGTCCCAGGAGCTGTAAAGGTGGGAGGGCAGAGCTTCGTGCCTTCACGTGGCTCAGGGTGACGCCGCGTGGGCTGAGTGGTTCGTGTGGTTGTGGACTTGTAGTCTCAGACCCAGCGGCTGCTAGCTCTTCTGAGAAGGGCCTAGTTCTTGGGAGAGCTGGTTGTTGGCGAGATCAGTCAGGACCTCTCTCTCTGTCTCTGTCTCTGTCTCTCTGCCACGTGCCTGCCATTCTCTGTGCTTCCGTAGGCCATTCTGTTGGCCCAAGACTTCGGGTTTTCCAGACACCAGAACTGTGTATTTACAAATAAACTTCTATCTTTATTATTTTTTATTTTTTTAGAGAGATTTTTGCTATAGGGCCTGTGTGCTCGCCGGAGAGGCAGCGGAAAATCACCCTCCAGTGGGATGACCACAACAGTCTCTTCCTCCCTTCTCCTCATGGGGTTTGGGGGACACGCATACACGCCCGATGTGAGTTTCAAACTGCCAGGTCTGGGACTCAAACCTTAGTTGACTACGTGGGAGTCCAGCACCTTAACCACGACACCACCTGCTGGCCCCACTTCTGTCTTCTTTATAAAATCACCCAGGCTTTTTTGTTTGTTTGCTGTAGGGAACCTGTGTTCACCAGAGAGGGAGAGCAGGAAAGCGCTCCCTGGTGGGGTGGCCATTTCAATCCCTTCTCCATTCCCCTTTTGGGATTTGGGGCACTCACGCACACATGCCTGGTGTGCAAAATCACCCGGACTTTTTTCTATATGAAACCTAAACTCTGGTATTCCTGTTAGCAACACGGTAAACTGTAAGACAGGAGCGCTAAAACAGGAGCACTGATCGTGTAGTTACTTCTTGTTCTCTGTCTCCCTCATTTCTTCCCGAAGGCTCAGTTTCACTCGCCTACCATAAGAGAGCTATAACTTTATCTTTCTTTTTTAAAATTTTTTGTTTATTTTTTTATTGCCAGAGGGTTTCTGCTCTCCCAGAGAGAAAAGCAGAGAGAAGGCATTCCCGAGACAGTGCGGGCTGCAGCCCTTCCCTTCCGTTTCTATCCCATCAGGATTTGGGGCATGTCTTCCAAGCCTCCAGGGCAGTGATCGAACCTTGGTCGGCCGTGGTGGCTCTCCGTTCCAGTGCAGTGCTTAACTGCTGTGCCATCCGGCCAACCCTGTATTTACGAAGTTACCAAGTGCTGATGTACAGTTTTGGTCCTGCTGAGCTTCCTTCAGTGTGAAGGTGGCTGGTTTGAGGCTCAACTGGGACGTGGTGCCCTTCAGGAGACCCAGTCCTGACCGTTCCCAGCTGGCCCGTCCGTTCAGGCGCCGTGGTGTGGGCACCTGCCCAGGTGTGGCGCTGGCTGTCAGTCCTAGTCTGAAGCAGTGTTGGGAGGGGCAGCCCATGTGGGATCAGGCAACCGATCCACGTTGTCAATTCAGACTAGTCCTCGTGTTCGACACACACGGAGACCTGGGGTCCGGTGTCCAGGGCCTCTGGGCGGTGTCTGTGAGGCCAGTGCATCAGAATTTCACCTGCTCGGTTCTTCTCAAGGCTCCAGGTGTCTCAGTTACCGACCGTCTTTGTGCCCTCCCCAGGAATCACCCTCCACAGCTTACCTCAGTGCAGGGCGAGGAGCTGGCCAGGAGAGTCAGGGTGGGGCCCAGTGATTCTGTTGTCCTCAGTTAGGGACGCCGCTGCAGGGCGTGTCCACCTGCTGTCCCCACTAACAGAAACCTTCCCTCCATCTCAAAATCCACCCAGGTCGCTGCCTTAGTGCCCTTCCCACCAGCGCAGGGGGCCAGCAGCTGTCTCTAACACTGTGTCCCCTAGGGCCCTCCAGAAACCGGGCCTCTCCTGGTGAAAGCAGCAGGTATATGCAGTCGTGGACTTCATTTAAAAAGAAAGGACTGGGCCCAGCTGCTGTGTCACGTGCTCCTGTCACTGTGAGACCACATGGGAGGCCTGGGTTCGATTCCTGGTTCAGCCTAAAGGCTGGGTGTGTGGCCGTGTCTGAAATTCCAGTGACCCAGTAAGGCTGAAGGAGAGCCGGAAGCTCAAGGCTGGGGAGCATAGCCAGACCCTGTCCTGAAAGAGCCCGGTGGCACAGTGGTTAGGGTGCTCAACTCCCACATGGCCGACTGTCTCTCGGACTTGGTGGCTTGAGGATCATGCCGGGGGCGTGTGCGTGTGTGCCCAACATCCTAAGAGGATGGAGAAGAAAGGATTGCAGTGTGGCGTGGGGGGGGGGGGGTTGTCTCACCTTTCCTCACGGTCTCTCTCCAGTGGGCGTGGGCATTATACGACAAAAACGTAAAAAGAAATAAAAAGAAAAGAAAAGGCCGGTGGTGATGGCGCAGGTCTGTGTCCCAGCTGGGAGCCCGGGTCAGGAGGATCCCAGCATGGCGAAGCCTCCCAGCAGGCAGGTGAGAAAGCAAATCAGGTCTTTTAAGATCAGGGCCAACCAGAAAACAAGCCGAAGGATCAGAACGGGAACGCACTTACCTCAGACTGCTCTCCTTGGGTGTCGGCCCTGAGTCCCCCCTGCCGTGGGGTCACATTGCCGTTCCTCAGGGTCATGGAATCGTAGCTCACCTGTCTTGAGAGAGCATACCCTTCAGCCCTGTGACCATGGCCATGCATGTGTCTGCTCACATATATGTGTGTACATGCAGATACACACACAGACACGCCACACACCTGCATACAGGTGCACCTCTGCTTCCTCCTGCTCCCTGTGGCCTGTGCGGCCAGCTAGAGCCCCTGCCTGGGTGTCCTGGGCTCCCCGAGGCCCTGTGGGCGGTGTCTCCACTCCTCAGGCACAGCGTGGCCTGTCTGCCCTGCAGAGCCTGAGCCCTGGCTGCTCCAGCCTGCTCCCAACCTGGGCGCAGCTGACACACCCCGTGCCCCTCGGCATTGCAGCTGTTGCTGTTGGGCCACGTGTGTTTCTCTTATACCTGCCGACCGTGACCCTGCACTTACCAGTGCAGTGGGCGGCCCAGGGGCGGCACTTTCCAGGCGTGAATTCGCTGCAGATGGACCTGCGCTCTGGTTAGAGTCAGGGCTTGCCAGGAGATGGTAGTGGAGCCCCGACTTGAGAGTTCATCTAACGGCTGACCTGTTTGTAATGCCCAATCCTACTCCTGGCACCTCGCGGTCTTTCCCAGACACGCCTGGAGTGGTGACCATTCGGTGCCACTGACCCATGTCCCCAGCTCTGGTGGAACCAGAACGCACTGCTGCCTCACTGAACCACTCGCCCCATTTGTAAGTCTGTGTCCCTTCTGGTCGACCGATGCCACGTTCTCGGCATTTTTGTGGGTTTTGCCTGATGATTTCACTGCTGAAGAGAGCCCCAGGGGCCAGCTCTGTAGCCTGCTGGTTAAGGGAGCCAGACCCACACGGCCGGCTGAGGTCCAGGTCCCAGCCTGCATGGCTTGAAGAATATGGGAGCCATGAGATGGCGTAGTGGTTACGTCCCTGGACTCCCACATGGCTGACCCCAATTTGAGTCTCTATGGCTTCACACTTAAACTGGGTGCATGTGCATGCGTGCCCAGGATCCCAGGAGGAGAACGGAGAAGGGATTACATCATGGCCATCCCCCTAGGGGGTGCTTTCTCACTTTCCCTCTCACTGTCTCTGTCTCTTTCTCTTCAGCGAGCACATGTGCCCTAAGGCAGAAACCTCTCAAAAACAAAAAACATGCCCAGGCACGTGTGCATGCCCAGGATCCTGACAGGGTGGAGAGATGGAGGAGGGGGTTGCAGTGCGACCAGCCCCACTGGGGTGCTTTCTCCCCTCTCCTCTCACGCTCTCTCCGGTGAGTACACATGCCTGCCCTCTGATGCTGGTTTTTTTTTTCCCTAAAGTGGCTCAGAAACTGGCACTGAAGTGCTGCTGGTGTCCCTAGGTGCGAGAGGGCCGTGAGCCTCCCACAGACATGCGTGTGGTGGGGCAGCTGTTCAGGCCCGCGGTGCGATGACCCTGCAGCAGAAGCACGGGTGCTGTGGGCTTCGTACTGACCGCTTGGCCAGAGACTTGCAGGCACTGAGCCCCGTGTCCTCTGGGACATTCTGGAACGAGGAGAAGGGCTGTGTGTCTGTGGGAGGACCGTGCAGTCCCCCAGGGTCCGTCCAGCAGCCCAGGCAGCCCTCCTGGCCTGCCCGCGTTCACTTCGCCGTGTGGCCCTCTCCTGGCAGGCTACTTCCTGAATTTCCTGGAGCCGGTAAATAACATCACCATCGTGCAAGGCCAGACGGCGATCCTGCACTGCAAGGTGGCAGGCAACCCGCCCCCCAGCGTGCGGTGGCTGAAGAACGACGCGCCGGTGGTGCAGGAGCCGCGGCGGGTCATCATCCGGAAGACAGAGTACGGCTCCCGGCTGCGGATCCAGGACCTGGACACCACAGACACCGGCTACTACCAGTGCGTGGCCACCAACGGGGCGAAGACCATCACGGCCCCTGTGGGAGGGGCTCTGGGAGGGTGGCCGCAGGCAGCGCCGACAGGGCTGGTCTGGTCGCCTGGGAGGGGCTGACTCACTGCTGGAAACCGAGGAGAGGGACGAGCCGGTCCCCAAGCCCTTCCCGCTGCGCACAGGGCCCGGGGTAGCCTCTCACCCGCTTTCTAGGGATCAGCCGAAGCGGGCAGACTGACACTCCCCCGGCTGCAGGGAGTACTCCAGGTGTTGGGGGGGGTGAGGCACGGAGGGCAATCAGGGATGACAGGGACCATGTGGGAGGAG